TACCGCAGGGGGGACAACGCCAAACGACACGGCTGACTGACCGCCCTGGACCTACTCAGTACACAGAAAGAGACGGCTTGGCGAAGCTGGGCCAGGCACGCCAAGGGTCAGCCATCTTGCAACCTCCGAAGCCCAGAACTCGCAGCTCACTTCTGGCCCCACCTTTTGCCCCACAAGTGGCATCCTCCATCGACCCCCGGGAGATAAGATAAAGGGGTTCACTGATATGGGTTGATGTGTGTCTTGAGTTTCTAGTGGGTTACGGCATGGCCTTACCAACAGAATGCTTGGCAACCGACGACAGCTGTGTCTCCACAAAAACAGGCTGTCGCAAGGTTTTCGCTCAGCCTTGGGGGAATTGTTGGAGGTGCCAGGGGAGATTGCTACACGAGTGTGTGCTTTTGGTAGCAAACTCAACGGGGAGAAAGCCGCAGTGGCAAATCGAACACGAAAAGAAAGTCGTCTTCTGCGTGTTCTAACTCCCCCGACGTGAAGGATGATTGCTGGGAGTCCAGCGATTGAATGTCACGTGTGGGTCAATGCAACGGCCACGAGAGCCATGAGATCATGGTCTCTGGTGGAGATCGCTTTTGGGGATCATCTGGGAAGACACATTATGTGCGATGCTGGGTTGTGGTGGAAGTGCACATGGCATAATCGCTGTGCTAGACGATAAGACGGCTGGTTTGAGGCTATCAGTTGAAAGCTTGATAGCCACCATCATCCATGATATGACAGTCACCCCGTGACACGAAGCCGGGCATCAGTGTCGACCGGCAGGCCTGCACGGATCCAGCCGCCCGCATTCAGCCTTGTTGTCCTTGCTGATGGTCGCTTTCACTGCAGTGCTTCCAATTTGATGACGAAGCCGGCCTTGTTAAAATGGCCATACGGACATCATCGATTAGGAGAGCGGCCGTCGTGCAACGTTAGAGTGCGATATGCGGCATTACATGACGAACAGTGAAGCGTTAGCCGTGAATATGGGAGAACGACGACCGGGAACCTCAGCAAGCCTACCAGGCATCACGAAGGGTACTACATCGCTGGGCCCTGCCTCCGAGTTGCTTTCGTCGCACAATAACGCACTCCAATCTCAGCAGTATCGAGTCCAACATTTTGTTTGTCACATTTCAACCCCCCACAAACAAACGGGGCCTCCAGCCTAACCAGCATCCTTGGCCGACGAACGGCAACACAACGACAAGGCTAAAAAGGGAAGAAGGACCAGAAATGAAGGAGGGAGGGGGGGACTGCGGGTCCTGTTTCGTTTGACGGCGAAACATCACGACAACAAAGCAACGGACCATCGTCGCCGATACTGGATTCTGGCCCGGCCTCTTCCGTCTCTGGTTTGGAGGTCATAGTCTGATCTCGACTTCAGCCCAAAAGTCGTGGGGAGTGTCCCGTCGCACTTTTCCTTCGCATCCTCATCCTTCCGGTCCCCGGGATTCCCCCCTATTCCGGCCATCCCTTTATTCCTTGTGAGAACCGAAAGTTTATTTCGGTTCACACGCCGGGGGAATGATACTCGACCAGAGACAAAACGGTTAACGGCTGCACCAAGTGGCATCCCGTTTTCATTGGACGGAACCAGCAGTCAGGGCCCCGGCGTCATGCAGGTCGTGCATCGCCCCAATTTTTCTGGCTGCCAGCCGCGAGTTGCCCCGCTCTTTGTCCAGCTGGTTGCACAATGGATTCGAGTAATCAATTGTCAGTCCCAATACCAACTTTACGTTGCAGGTTGAGCAATGGGAAAGCGTTTGGATGCATTGATGCTTTCCAGGCGCGTTTCTGGGCTTTCCTATTCGAAGGTCGAGAGCGTTTCATTGTCAGATCTTATCAGTCGGCCTTGCGCCGTATGGGGCAGCGGGCATGCATTGTCATCTGTGACGTTCGAGACAGTTCGGTCCGTTGTCTTGCAGCGACGGGCTGGACCCGGTTGCGGGTCAAGTTGTTTCTCAGCGGATGTGTGCGATTGCATCTAGCTCCTGATTGAAACCCATCGTCTTCGGCCGGTGTTACGTGTTTCCATTTCGTTTGCTTGTTTCTCAAGCTCGATCATCCTTGTTCTGTGTCGTCATCGCCAACAGGTCCAACCTTTGTTGGCCTTCGAGCATCCTGTTGATTGGCTTACGAACTGCCTTTGCATGCAGCGAGACTCTACACCGCTTCGAGGACACGGACAGAAACACATTTGCTCGCTTCTCTATCGGTTTACTTGTGTATGCTACGGATCGCCATCTCGCTTTATTTGGTTCGGCCGAACAATACTGCCGACCTCTGAGCCTATACGGTAGAAAAGGCGCAAAATTCTAATGCAACTCAAAAGAGATCTGAGCGGCAGAACCGCCGTCGTAGACGTAACATTTCGCAGTAATGACAATGCCGGTCTGGGGAAGAGACGAAAGTGACTGGAGAGAAGAAGTGGGATAGAGCCTGGAACACTGATTTCCAAGGCCTCGCCCAGCTTATGGACCATTGAACGCGGTTCCCAACGCTGTCCCTACTCGAGCTCGCTATGCGCCAGATCACTGCTCGACTGCTTGGCTTCGTTTTCTTTCACGCGCCTTTGTTTCGTTAGCCAGGCCCCAGGGCGAAACAAGGATCAAAGAATCAAATGGGCCACGAGAAGAGCGCTTAAGACCCTCTCCTAGCGCTATGCTCCACTGTCTGTTCCGCAGCTCAACGATAATATAAAGCCCATATTTCTGTTGTTGTTCTGCCATGTGCGTCGAAGCTCTTTCGGGGTCGAAGCCCGAGAAACCAGTTGTGAGTACTGCGATTGTCGGTAAGAGACAGTCCAACGTAGTCTTGAAGTAACAAACACACACTCTCTGTGATACGCTTCTCCAGTCTCTGCCCCGTGTCTCCTGTCGCTCAAGCCCTTTCTCTCCATTGCAGTCTTTTCGAGTCGCTTCTGTACTCTGCGCGAACACAGAACATGGGGTGGCCTCGTTCTCTCGTTGCGTCCACATGGACTGAGAATTATCCTTGTAGGTCACCTGCAGATTTGAAATGCAACCTTCCTACCATGCGTGGCGATCTGGACATGAGAAGAGACATTAAAAACGTCTGTGGAGAAGAATAGAGAAAGGCAGGGGGAAACACAAATGAAAATACCGCCCCTGGTGGACGAACGAGACTTGCGTTTCGTTTCCATTTCTTTTGAAATTTATTGCAGTATTTAAAATATGGCGCAAAGGCTTTTCCCGTTCTCGTCCGCCGCAACCACCCGTTCCACTTGTGTAGTAGTCTGGCCACGAAACAAAACACTTGAGTATACCATTGTTTGTCGCGTGGTCCTCTGACGATCACTCGACATAATTCGCCATAGACGCGCAAGTGACACGTCCATTTTTTTTTTTCGTCCACAGGTCCATTCCATGCGTCTTTTTCTCTCATCTTGTATGCTATGGTCGCATGTCGTACTGACGAATACACGGTATTTTGCAGCGCAGGAGGATTGGGGTGGCCCCAGCTTCAAGGGGGGTGCCGGCCGACGTGGGGGTCTCTCACTTTCCACTGCCACCCACCCTTTTTTTTTTCCTTTGGCGAGCCACATCTGTGAGCTGTCTCCTTATTTTTGTTTTGTGTACGAATTATGTTGTACGTCGTCCACCTGCGTTTGCTCTACTGGCGCGATGGCCATTGCACCCCAACTCCACTTTCTTTTCGAGGAAGGGAATATGAGTTGGGTGTTTTGTCTTTCCGTTCTCGCTGTCCGTCTTGCAACATAACATGGATGCACGGAAGCTTACCTCACGTCACCCCGTGACGGCGTTCTCCGTCAACTAAAACCGTGCACAAAACAGAAGAAGTTCACGTTTGCAGTACGTCGCCCGGCTCCTGCTTTTGCAACCCTTTCGCCGTGGGTCTGTTCACCAAAGTGTCGCCCATGGACGATCAGCCGTGTCCCTGAATCGACGCGTCTGCCCCATCCATGTTTACACGAAAAACGCCGGTGTTCGTTGGACCGCATGAGCCCAGACGACCATACGGGCTGTTTTTCGTAGGTCTGTTACGTGTCCAGAGTGATGCACTTATCCGTACGCCGTACTATGACAAGTTTGTCCTCCTAAGGAAGAGTGCCTGAATGGGGCATCGTGCTGCCGATTTCTTTGTTCATTGTGCATCTTTCGTTTGGGTATGTTCAAGGAGCTGTCGCAGTGAAAGCATGTGAAAGACGGTTGCTCGTCCGGACTGCCACTCTGCAAAAGTACGTCTATATTACACAGTACAGGCGCCATATAAAAATGGGGCCTGGCCCGCTCAGGAGCTAATGTGGGGGCTCTTGCCACGCGAGCGGCATCCTCCTCGACATAATTGCAAAGAGGGAACGTAAGAAAGGAACAGCATTTTCAAGTGCCATACTGTGAAAACCAGCAATTACAAATATTGGGGAGCATCTAACGCGGCACAGTCCTACCTGTTTTGTTCATCCCTCCTGCAATTCCCCGCGCACGCCGACTTCGTCAGTACGGTATATGCGACGCGCATCAGTGGCTTTTAAGAGGCTGCCCACTCACACTTTTCCACCGAATGTATTGAAGCTAGTGACGCCTCAACATGCAAGGCCTGGCTTAGCTGGGTTAATGGGGCGCTCTTTTTCCAGTCTGGTGGTTCTTTGCGTCGGTGTTGTGCTGTCTCTCGAAACTGTGCGTTTGTCTGTCTTCCTGATGTGTACTTTAGTTTACATTCTTTTGCCACTTCGGTCCTCTTGTTTGTTGCAAGTCGTCAGCTATTTCGATTACTCCACAACTTTTGGAGTCTGAGAACATGACTCGTGGGTCCCGATGATCACGATTTGGAGGACTTCCGCTTGGATCTTGGAGTACAAGCCTGTGTGTTAACATGTGTGTTAAGAGGGAACAATAAGGTAAGAACGAGTAAAGATGGCGTTACGGAACAAGTTTCCCCAAAAGCCATACCATGTTGCCCAATTGCCGCAAGGTATATATGACCCTTTTGGGAACTCAAAGGCGGAATTCTTGAAAAGGCTAGTCATTTGTCCAGCATACATGGGAAACGGGAAACAACCCATGCGCGGATTTGGATATCGATTTCGTCGAAATTGGCCGTTTTGCCTTCTCGGTCTTGTCTTCCCTCTTTCGCACAGTTGACTTCCCGTCTTCGTCCTCTTTGACCCTCTCGTCTCTCGTCTCTCGTCTCGCTTTCCTTCTCGCTCCGATTCCTGCCGGGCCTTGCCCGGTAATAGCTGACGCGCACTTGTCCATTTTGGTCGCTAGTTCTCAAGCAATCTCGACAAGCAAAGGCGGTTCCCAGCAAGACAAACACTAGCATGACAAGCCTGCGTCAAGGGGACCCGCCCGGTGTTCTTCGACCGACGGGCCTTCTCTGCCTTTGCTTTGCGCTTTTGACTCTTCACACAGAATATCTACACAGTATATCGACTCTTATTGGACCCCTTGTCCGCCACAGCGTCTTTCTTTTCTTTACTTGCCTTTCTTCGACGACGAAGACGGGGTGCTCGAAGGGCGAATTCCGGCGGTTCTTTATGAGATTCTTGACACCGTCGTTTTCTTTTTTTTTATTGCCATGGCCTTTGGTCACCATAAACTACGGACAATGTCGATTGCTATTACGCGTCGGGTTGGTCACCATCACAAAAATTTCAATCTCCTTGCTATGTGATCGATACCAGCAGGGACTGTGCCTCATCATCCGTTAACCTCTTGTAGCCGTTGCGAAGCGCCACGCGGAAAAATTGATAAAGGCTGTATGACCGCCGGTGCAACATTGCTGTTTTCCCCTCACATCCTCACGTCCACATCCTCTCGCATCCTGAACCCTTGGAACTGGCGACTGCTGCATGGTAAAACATGGCTTGCAGCCGATGGTCGGATAGTGGGGTTTTGTTGCCATCTGTCACCCCCTAGTCGTCAAAGTGTCAAGGTTGGGGGGGGGGATTCATCGTTCCTAATTGGTGTGAACCTCGTCTTCGGTGGCCCATGCTCCCTGGACCCTTCGACCCTTGTTTTTTTCAGTACGAAGTAGGGCACGGCATGCCTCGCAGTAAATGCTCTGTATTCGTCCCAAAAAGGCATTTAACCCACGGCGGCCGTGGCGCGGGACCCCCATGCTGCTTGTAAATATAGCAGTCTGGAAAATGAGAGTGCTTGTAGCACACAATATGCCGGGTATTCATACGGTTTCGTCTGGTTGATTTGCAGCAGGACGACCCCCCAATGTCCAATGTCGTCCCGCTCCTGGCCGAGAAAGAAAGAGTAGTGAGATATTGCATCTTTCTCTTTCTGATTCCCGTACAAATCCCACATTCGGACGCGCTCCGTGCCAACAGGCCGTCGGGCGTGGGATGTGCCGCCTTTGAGCTTGAACGAGGTTTGCAGCACGAGTAGCAATTACGACGTTCTACCTCCCGCCTTTCCTCTGCTGGCTTCTTTCCCATACACAATACCTGCTTCTGCTTGCCTTCCGCTCCACTCTCACCCACCCTGCCAAGTGCAACAACACCCACTCCAGCACTCATTCCCATCTGCAGGCGTCACTGCTTGTTCACTCCCGGGTCTTGTCTGTGTACGGACTACGACGAACCATTTCGTACCCTGCTAGAATAAAAGGCGGACCCGTGTCTGACGTACCGGCTAGTCTGGCCCGCTAAACCACCATCCGTGCAACTCTTCACTCTGTCGCTACGCCGGAGGATGCGCACTGTCGAGGTTAGTGCGCCGACCTAGTGCCCTAGGGTGTGAGGAGGGAGAGCGTCGAAGAGTCAGTATTTTTTGTAGGGAGTGTTGATATTGGTTCTCCCTCTAATAATGTCTCTGTATGGCTGACAGGTTCCTCATACTCCGCGTGATTACATCTTGTTTGTTTTATGTGTACTATATTGCACCCGACGTTTACGTCTCTAGGCCTCTTGCGGCTGCTGTATACATCCTCTCATTATTTCCTGCGATTCTCGACGGGCATCATAGGCGTCGTAAGTCGCAGTCGTTGGTTCGTCGCACTTGGCGCGGCGCAAAGCCCCATCCCACTGTAGTGCCACGCCCGCACTTTGAAAACACCAAAAACTGAAAACTGACAGGCTGAGCCTTGGGTAACTCCATGCTCCTTCGCCAGTTTCGCCGAGGCTGTTCTCTGCCCACCAATTTACGCTATTTTGTGGCTGCTCTTCCTACTCCGTACTTTCGTTAGTCTCTGCCGTCATCATCTGTTCTCGTCTGCTGCAATGGTCTACAAGAGGCAACTGGTGTCGGACGCTGTTTCTTCAACGAGAAAGAACGCGAGAGACGACGAAATAGGAAAGGAGGAACGGGGCCAACTAAGAAACAGCTTCAAAATGGCGTCCGGGAAGGAGCGAATAAAAAGAGACAAGAAGAGCTTCAGCAAGCAACGAACAGAAAAACAGAAGAGACGACCAGCAAAAGTAGGAAGCGACAGGGGGTGGCGGAAGAGCAAAAGCCCGCTGGTGCGGACCCCCAACCTCGAAAGACATCCATTAGAAGCGACCCCCATTTTCATTTTCCGTCTCTGCTCTTGGCTGCGGGCATCAGTCCTTGCTTGTCTCCTGCGTATTCCCACACTCTCTTGGTTCGTTCCTTCACCCACGCCTTTTCTACTTTTTTCTGCCCTTCGCTCTTTCTTCTCGCAGCCCACCCTGCATGCGCCACGGTCGCTCTTGCCCACAAATGCAATCGGAACCTACTTCCGGTCCGCAGGCAGATGCATGCGCCGTAGAGAAAATAGCGATGTTAAAACAGACGGGGAAAGTGCCAACGAAAATGGTATGAAGCATCCTCAATGAGCGCAAGAGCGCACCGTACCATGTGGAAAGGCGGAAGGTACGACCTGTCGGCTTTTTCGTCTGGTCAACTTTGTCGACTTTGTCGACTTTTTGCCCGTTGTTCCAGCGTCCGCTGCAGGCACTACTGCCGTAGGCCCGGTACGACACTGTAAGGCGCTGTAATACTTCCCGGCACCCCATCCCACCTTCGTCAATTTCCCTCGTCGCCTTCGTCTCTTTTGCCTGTCGCTTTATTTTTATTACTCCCAATCCCCGTCCACCTCGATTTTCCTCATTCGATTCTTGTTTTCGGTCGCTTCCTATTCCTTCGTCTTTCCCCCTCCTTTCGCATTTTCGTTTATTGAATCCTCGTCTTCCGCTTCTCCCCCAGTATTTTCTTTCGTGTCGTTGCTTCTCTGCTCTCCGGCCTCTCTCTTTGCCCTCGTCCAGCTCTGTATTCCAATTCGCCACTCGCCTCGAGACGGAAGAGTCAGAGTCGTCAGCAGCCTTTTGTCCTCCTTGCGTCCAAACCCGAGCAACGGCCAGCAAACCAGACGTTGGAAGAGCAAAGAAACAAAAGCATAAACAACGACTCGTCAGCCTTGCCCAAGAGACTCGAATCGGCACTTTTATAAAACGATCGATCGTGTTCCGCCGCCTGGCCTTGCGATCGCGTGCGCAAAAAGGCACTGGACCCTGGAGAGAACCCGCCAAGCGGACGAACCAGCCTGCGTGGGGACGCAGAAAGAGCCAAAAAGAGGTTTTTCTCTCGTAATTTTTCGCCCATCCCCCGCGCTTTCTTCTCTTTCTCCATCCTTTCCATCACCACGCAAACCGCCTACCCTTCCGTCATCGTCGATGTAATACAAGGCACAATAGACCTTGCTCACCTTGTTCGAGTGTGCTTCCTTTGTTTTTTGCGACGTCGTTTCGCATCGACTAGTATCGTCGCCATTCCGGAGGACCCTCCTTGGATCTCCCACCCACACACGCTCCCCGCCCCCCCGTTCTCTCGGAATCAGTCCCGACACAGCGACCCGGCATTGAGTTCGGACTCGACTTCTCCGCGGCGCACGACGAAGACAGTCGTCGGCCGAGCCAGACAATTGCATTGTTGTAGTTGGACGTCTGCTTGACTGTGCTGCATTTGTTTTTCTTTTCTTTTTTTCCTCCTCTTCTTCACGGCTGGCCGCCATGATGGGCGCCGGCACGACGTCGCCGCATGGCACGTCGAGTCCCATGATGAGCATGAACACCACAACAACAGAGCACGACTTCCGCTTTCCCCGTAGACCAACGGGTGGTCCTGGTGCGGTCCACGGGCCGCCTGGCCAGCGCCAGCAACACAACCACCACCACCACCATCACAACAACAACAACCTCAGCCTCGATTTCCCCAGTGACCATTTCGAGCAGCATGACTTTGGTGACATGGGTGCCATGGCTGACATGCACACGTCGGTTTCGACCATGGCGCCGTCGCACCCCGTGGATGCCGTGGCACCGCCCACCAGTCCGTCCGCCGCTGGCCGTCTGGGCCTGGACGTGGATACATTGTTTCAGTCGGCCCAGAGCCGTCTGACGCGCGACGATGTGTTTGCCGATCTGCGACGGGGTGCCGGCGGTAGCAAGACGTCGGCGACGCCCGGCAGCCCCGAGGAGATGCAGAAGCAGGACCCTCTAGCCACCGAGATCTGGCGCTTCTTCTCCAAAACGAAGCAGCAGTTGCCCAACATGGAGCGCATGGAGAACCTGACATGGCGCATGATGCACGTTAAGCTCAAGTCGGCCCAGCCCACAATGTGAGTGAAATCCTCCCTGTGCAGGACTCAATGAGAGAACAAAACGTAAAAGATCTCCACGTCACGATAACACATTACTAACCGATATCATCTTGTCATAGGCCCCCGCCTTCGAAGGCCGCCCCTGTGGCCAACGCCCCGAGCGGCATCGCCCAGCTGCGCAAGTCCAGCGAGCAGAGCATGTTGTTCCAGAAGAGCAACAACCAGCAGCAGTCCGCCTACGGCGTGCCCGGGTCATCCAGCGACCACATGAGCATGGACGACTTCATCGACCCGCGCAACGTGGCGTCGTCCGCCGACGTCACAGCTTTGACCCCGGATGCTGCTGGTGGCATGATGATTCCCGGCAGCAAGGACCGCCACTTGTCGGGTCATGCCGTCGCCGGCGCCATCCCCATCAAGTCCCGCCGGGAGTCTGGAAAGTCGTTTGTTCCCCAAAGCGTGCCCGTCGCCCAGCACCAGGTCGGCCAGGACGAGTTTGCCTACGTCACCCGCCATCACCGCAAGACGAGCATCGACGACCGTCGGGTGCGTCCTCCTCCTCCTCCACCTCCACCAGCTCCAGCTCCCACTTCCCACCCCTCTTCCTACCAAGGCCCTGGACCCAAACTCAAACTAACAACTCAGACACGGAAACGGCCTGCCAACTTCTCGCCCCATGTGCCGGCTTCTGGCAGCACGGCCGACTTGGATGTCGACCCGGACCTTCAGGACTACGCTCTGGACCACACCATCTCGAATGGTCTCACCAACCGCGACCACCCCACGCCGAACGGCATCCCCTTCCCTCTGGACTCCTTTATGGACAATGATGGCCTGTTGACCTCGGCTGGCCCGTTCCAGCAGCAATTCTGCATTTCGCCCTCCTCGTCGCCCATGGTCAACCATGGCCTCTTCTCCAACCTGTACGGCAACAGTGGCCCATCCATGCCTTCGTCGTCCATCCCCACGACGGCTGATTACTACTCTCCGCCCGGTTCGGCCTACCACTCGACCGCCTCGACCCCGCACCCGCTCAACGACGGCAGTGTCGGCGGGCCCAATGGCGATGGCTTCTACTTTGGCGCCATGGACATCCGCGGCCAGCCCCAGCGTGGTCCTCAGGGCTTCCGCCAGGGTGCCCCCTCGACCACGAGTGCCATCTCGTCGTCGATCGCCAGCAGTATCACGACGACTGCAGGCCACTCGGCAAACCCGCTCATGTACGGCAGCAGTGCGGGCAACAGCATCTTCCAGCCGAGCTCCATGTCGACCACGGGCCCCGAGAGCGTGTCGGGCTTCTCGACCTCTTTTAGCCACATCGACCCGACGCAGGTCTTCCACCAGCAGCACCACGATGCCCAGGTGTCGGCTCCGTCCCCGGGCCTCTCCAACAGCAACAACTTGTTGAGCGACAACATGTTTTCGTTTGGCGCCGATTCCGATGCCGACGAGGAGGAGGCGGGCGCGTTTGCTGACCGCAACATGACCATGAGCAGCGGCGAATACTCGCCCGGCATGGACGACCCTGGCATGGACGGCAGCAGCGGTGGCCCTGGCTCGGTGGGCAACGGCAGCAACCTTGGCTGGGACGCGTCTCTTCCTGGCCAGTTCAGCACCCAGGCGGCACGCTACCCGGGTGGCATCCCGCCACGCAAGCAGGTCACGATTGGCGGCACCACCACCAACGATTTCAGTGACATGAACACGGTGGAGTGGGACGGTAGCAGCAGTTCCATCAACGCCACCGGCACCAACCACAACAGCAGCGGCGCCAGCAGCCTCACGCGCTCGCAGTCGCAATCTTTCCGCAACGGCAGCATCAGCGGCGCGTCCACCACCGCTGACCGCCGCCAGCAGAAGATGCCCCGCACGGCCTCGACGCCCAACGTCAACCGCGCCGGCAGCATCTCGGGCGGCTTTGACTTGATGGGCCAGTCGAACCCCAATTCGCCGCCCAACGACCTGGGTGGCCACGCGTCGGGCTACAGCTCCGTGGCGCCCAGCCGCCCGTCCACGCCGCCCATGCCTGGCTCCAAGCACGGCTCGTCCACCAACTTGCAGGCCCAGGGCGAGTCGTCGGCCCCGACAACGTGCACCAACTGTTTCACGCAGACCACGCCGCTGTGGCGCCGCAACCCCGAAGGCCAGCCGCTGTGCAACGCCTGTGGTCTGTTCTTGAAGCTGCACGGCGTCGTCCGCCCGCTGAGCTTGAAGACGGATGTGATCAAGAAGCGCAACCGTGGCTCGGGTGCCAGTCTTCCCGTGGGCGGCACGAGCACCCGGTCTGGCAAGAAGGGCGGCGCATCGGTTTCCAGCACCCGCAAGAACTCGACGCTGTCCATGACCGCCACGGCCTCGTCGTCCAACGTCACTATCCAATCGGCCGCGGCTGCGTCGTCGAGTGTCACGACACCGCCCTCGCAGCTCAACCGCGCCGGCAGCATCAACGACAGCGAGAGTCCCTCCAGCGGAAACGGCGGCAACACAGCCGGCAGCACACCGGCCAGCTATTCTGGTTCGGTCAGTGGCGGCAAGGGTGTCGTGCCCATTGCTGCGGCGCCGCCCAAGAACACGCCCGGTCCTGGTGCTGCGTCCCTGCCGCGTGCTCTCGCTGCCGCGTCGTCGTCGTCGTCGTCCACCACGTCCAAGCGCCAGCGCCGCCACAGCAAGAGCGTCAGCAATATAAACTCCAGTAGCTCCACTGCCAACGCCACCAACACCACCAACAACAAAAACCAGTCCATGGCAGTCACGCCCAGCGACGTCGGCCTCGGCGGCAGCAGCATCATGGACATTGACAGCCCCGCCAACTCGACGGGCTCCAACGACGCGTCAGCGCTGTCCATGAGCGCCAGCACGGGCCTCAACTTTTTGGATAAGCACACCAGCAATCTGGGCCTCGCCAATGCCTTCGGTGTCACACAGCGCCCGATTGTCAGCCCCAGTATGATCGGCATGGGCCCTGCGGCCTCGGGCGGCTCGATGATGACACCTGGTGGCTCGGCGGGCGGTCCACAGGAGTGGGAGTGGCTCACCATGAGTCTTTAATCTTGCCTGATTTGTGTACTATTTTTTTTTTTTTTTTTTGGTAATGTCTTTCTTGCACATCAACCTCATCGTTTCCTTCCTCTCATTTGCTACACCTTTGGGGCCGACAGACGAGGGGATGATACATGACGACTGACATGCCCATAAACTTGGGGCGGTTTTCTTATTTTTTTTTTTTTGCGTCCTTTACTTTTCTTACCTATTTGATATCCAGGGCAGGGGACGATCTGATGATATGCTGGGAGTTTTTATGTTTTTTTTTTTTTTATGTTTTTTTTTTCCTGCATGTGTTGCGTTTGCGTCCTTCCTGTCCGCGTTGTGTGCCGGTTGTCGGACACGTTTAGACAACAGTAGAACCTGTGGGATACCCCCGAGTGTGGATTTTATCGTTCCTTGTTGTTTTTGGAATATTTAGACTGTGCTCGACAGACGCACCCAACACTTGAACATATTACTACTATCCACAACCCGACGCGGTATCTAATCATGGAATCAGGATACGAAGTGAATTTATACTTTTATTTCTGTATTAACTTTACGTTATCTTCATAAAATTGCGTATGAACATGTTTGATCGTATGTGGATAGTATTATACTCGTGGGAAGTGGTTGTTTAATGAAAAGCCCAGTTTGTAGAAATCAGATAGGATGAATGACGAAAACTATGTTTCACATACAAATGGCATGTGATGGTAATAGATGCCGTGGCATGTTGGCAGCTCGTCTTTTGTCTTGCTTCTATCGTTTTCCTTTGAACTGTCAGTTTCGGACCGGTAATCTCAGCCCTTCTGACAAGCGGGCTCGAGGCGGGCTAAACCCCTAAATTACGAGCCTTGAGTTCCTGTTTCCAGTGACCCATTGAGCGCCGACGTAATTAGCCGCAATTCAAGCACCACGCTAAGAACGAGCCTATCGATAAGCGCGCGCCGTCGTCTTGAAGTGCACTGTTTCGACTCGTCCCAAATGGACAAAGCGGAGACAATTTGCCAGATTGGGCAGGTCCTCCTCTCCGTCGCCTTTCCTCCTTTCTGTCTTTCCACATCACGACTATGCCTGCACGGCAGGTCACACCTGCGCTCCTGCCACAACCGCCCTCGTGGGCTCGTCTCCCACTGTTTACGTCGTTTGAAGAACGGTGACACTCCTTTTCGCGGCATCGGTCGTCCGTTTCGTCTCGTCCCCTTCGCAAGGCCCATCTCTCCTCCCACGCCATTCTCCCGCACTCCAATCGCGACAAGAGGCCACACACCACGCTCACTTCGATTTTGAAACACCTCTCAACTCCCCCGCTTCTCAACACAATGACAGCCGCAGACTCCTCTGTCTTCTCCCTGCCTCCAGGGCGGCCAAATGGCCAAGCGACGGCTGTCCACACCTCCTCCGCAAAACCATCCCAACCTGCGCAACCACCACCGACAACCACATCGTCATCCTCCTCCTCCCACCCGACGGGACAGAAGGCTGCTCTCCCAGCCCTCTCTACCGACTTTGACGGCCCCTTTCCTGGCCTGACACGATCCTCTACGCTCCCGGCTTCCTTACAATCGGCCGCCGCCTCGGCGTCCAGGCCGCCATGGGCTCCCGTGTCGGCAGCGACCAGCCGGCGCGCCGACCCGTACCACCTCGCTCCGGAAGACGCCTTCTACACATCCGTCTCACCGCCATGGGACCGCAACGCCGCACGGAATAACAACAGTGGCAACAACAGTACGAAGAACAGCAGCAACGCAGCTGCTGCCAGCAGCAATGTCTCGGGCAGCGAGCTGCCGCACGAGTCGCGCCTTAGCGCACGGCAGTTGCTACGACCCGGTGGACTCAGCAGCAGCAATCTGCGACGGTCTGCGTCGGGCGTGATGAGCGGTTTGGGCGGTGGTGGTGGCGGAGGAGGCGGCGGAGGCGGCGGAGGAACAGGCGAAGCCCGCAGCCGCAGCCGGCGGCGGCGACGACGCACGTGGAAGAAACTGCTCTGGGTCAAGCAGTCGTACCCGGACAACTACACCGACCAGGCCACCTTTCTCGAAAATCTCCAGCGCAACCCACGCCTGCAACCGTACGACTTTTGGCCGCTCGTCGCCGACTCCACGGTCATAGTGCAACACGTGTGCTCGGTGATCATCTTTGTCATTTGCTTCGTCGGCATCGCCCAGGACCGCGTCAGTCCTGTGTCCGTGGTCGGCTGGGGCAGCATCGCCACGTGCATGGGCTGGCTTCTGTGGGAATGGTGGGCCGGGCAGGAGCAGCAGGAGCGACAGGCCGAGGGCTTGGACGACGACGACGACTACGTTGGCAACAGCAGCAGAGCCCCCAGCCGCAACGATCTGGACGGCTTCCCCAGTCCCAACGGGCAGCGCATGGGCCGGCGGGGCAACGGGGGTACCGCCAGTGTGGCCAGTGTGGCCAGTGTGGCCAGTGTGGCCAGTGCCACAAGTGCCGCAAGTGGCGACCAATCGCCGCCAATGTCCTCGCTTGCGCCGCACTCGGCACCCTCGAGCCAATCCGCCAGCCGGCTGTCCAAGCACTCCGAGGCGTCGACTGTCGATACGACGCCCAGCCTAGCAACGTCCACAAACAGCTCGACAAGTTTTCTCGACATGTCGACCCGCCACAGCCGCGTGGGAAGCGGCAAAGGCCACGCACCATATGCCAACAGCAACGTCAGCGGCCACGGCAACGGGAACGGAAGTGTTGGCACCGGCAGAAGCACAGGCACAAGCACCAGCACCAGCAGCTCGTGGCAGCCAGTGGGCCACTCCAGCAGTTTATCCCAAGTCAGCAACGGCAGCAACACGACAAGCGGCCCTGCCGCCTCCTCTTCCCATCGACCAGCCTCCTCGCACGGTCGTTCTGCAGCAGGAGCCGAGCACCATGTGCCGATCACACCAGCAACACCGCGCTACCCGCCACCGCGACGCCCTTTGACGCCTGTGCGTGGTGGCCGTGGCCATCACCGCATTGCTACGATCAAGTCTGCCGTGCTCATTTACTTTACCCTCCTCGGCCTGTCGCCCATCCTCAAGTCGCTCACGCGCTCCACGTCCTCCGACAGCATCTGGGCCATGTCCTTTTGGCTGCTCACCATCAACATCTTCTTCTTCGACTACTCGGGCGTCTGGGTCGGCGCCCACAAGTTCCCCGTCGCCTCCCTCTCCACCAATGCCGCCCTCATGGCCTCCACCGTCCTCGCCAGCCGCCTGCCCTCGACCGGCCAGGTGTTCAGTCTGACCCTGTTCAGCATCGAGGTCTTTGGTCTGTTTCCAGTCTTTCGGCGCTATGCTCGCCACCGTAGCTGGCAATACCACATCGGCCTCACCGTCCTGCTCGTCCTCGGCGCCGGCGCCGGTGTCGGCATCATACTGACCGAGCCCAGCGACGGCCTCCCTTGGCGCGGTGCGACGGCCGGCATGGTCGTCGCCTGTCTGCTGTCGGCTGTCGCGATGGGCGGTTGCAGTTGGTGGCTGATTGGTTTGCAAAAGTACAAGAACGAGATCTACGGGCCCTGGGACCCGGCACGGCCAGTCATCATCAGCCGGCGGCACTGGAATGATGTGTAGGGGTTGGCGTTTGGCAGCTTGGGTCTCCTTCTTCGTATCTCATATTTCGCATAATTATTGATTGGTCATTGGAACAGGCAGCGCGGACTCACAAAAACACAATTCACATAGCATAGACATGATTAGGATGACGATAAGCGATAATTTAATACCAGGATAGCAATTGAGCCGTCTCTCCGGACACTACGAGAAGCGCATTTACTCAATCGGGATGCATTTTGTGCCATGAGCGGCGGCCTTGAAATTGGAGACATTCGAGTGAGAAAGTACGGCGTTCCATACATAATACAACGTAATTAAACTTGTATGCGCTGGTGCCCAGCCACTGGCAAAAGTCCTTTGCGTTGAAGGCATGAGAAAAAAGACCGCCGGTCGTCCTAAATTGGAAAGAAGCAGCCAACCTCGGGACTCACCCGTCGCGATTTGCGAAACAGGATGGAACGATCGTTGCTGGGGCAACTGTGGATTTGTGTGTAGTGGGGCAATTGCGCCCGCCAAACCGGACAGCTCCCCGCCAGCACCTGCGCGTCTCCGACAATGCAGAGGAGCCCAATGCCCAATCGTGCCTTCCCGATTGTTGTTTTTCCCATTATTTTTTTCTGGGTCCCCTTCCTCCACTCCTTCCCTCTTCTGTGCTCCATAGCGACGCCATTTCTGTAGGCCCAACGTCGAAGAGCAGTCGCTATATCATTCACAGCAGCACGACGACGGCCACGGACTGCTGCACTGTCTATCCATTTCCACTTTCATCGACATTCTTTCGTTCGCTTTTCTTGCTCGGGACAACCGCGCATTCTTTGGCAAAAGCTCGCCCCATTTGAGCCGTGCCTAAGAAACGACAAGTAGCAAAGCAAACCCGAGCCGACCCTTTTCCTCGTCGTGTTTTCTTTTCTTTTGCTCCTCTCTCCTTCACCGTTTTCATCATTGTCGCTCTCTTTTGTTTCCTTTGCATTCACGTCTGTCTCTCTCTCTCGGCTCCGACGTACTCGTATCGAGTCTCTTGCCTCCAAACATCCCCTCTGTCCTCCTCAGCACTTGTCCACATCGATCGACAACATGGCCAGCTTCATGGCTAATCTCCTCGACCGGGCCAACACGGCCGTCTCGCGTCCCGAGACACCGACCAAGAACAACTTCCTCACACCCACAAGCACGCCCCAGGGCAGCCCGAGCAAAAAGACGCTACCACCGGGCGCGTACGAAGTTGGGACCGCACAGGACAACAGCGGCTTGGCCAGCGGGCCGAAACAGAGCAACATCATCGTGCCCATCCCAAGCCTCTTTGACAACGCTGTGCGTCTCGGCCGGCCGCAGACGTCGGGCGCGGGCAGTGCCTCCAACAACACAAACACCCCTACGACTGGGTCCAGCCAGCCTTTGTCGCCCTCCAAGGGCAACAGCCTGCAGCCGCACCAGCAGCTCCTCGAAGATCCATTTGCCATCGATGATAGCGTCGTCCACAAGAAGTCGGCTGTTTCACCTGCCAACAAGGAGAACAAGGCCATCGGCAACAAGGGCGAGACACACGTGGGCGTCACGTCCTCCGCCTCAACCGCATTGGCAACAGTCGATGCCGGTGCGGGTGCCGGTGCGGGTGCGGACGCGTCCTCGGAGCACAAGGGCAAGGAAAACCTGCAACCTTCAACGCGTCTGCCGGTGCCAATCGACGCGGCCAGCCAGCAGCAGCAACAGCAACTCCACCAGGGCCATGCCGCCGCCTCACGGCACGAGCTCTACCAGCAGCCCACCCGCGAGCGGCCCAACACACCCAACGTCAAGAAGTTCAACACCTCGCGCGGCCTGACGCCCGAGGAGCTCGAGATCCTCAAGCGGCCCAACGTGCGGCGTCTCGTCAATGTGACGCAGCTCTACTTCCTCGACTACTACTTTGACTTGCTGACCTACGTGGGGTCCCGCCAGGGCCGCCTCAACGCATTCAAGTCCGAGATCCCTGCACCCCCCGAAACCGACGAGGCGACGTACCACCAGATGTGGCACAAGTACACAGGCCGCGAGCGGGCCAACCTCCGCAAGCGCCGCATCCGCCTGCGTCACGGGGACTTCCAGATCCTGACGCAGGTCGGCCAGGGCGGCTACGGCCAGGTGTTTTTGGCGCAGAAGAAGGACACCCGCGAGGTCTGCGCTCTCAAAGTGATGAGCAAGAAGCTGCTGTTCAAGCTCGACGAGGTGCGCCACGTGCTGACAGAGCGCGACATTCTGACCACGGCCAAGAGTGAGTGGCTGGTGCGCCTGCTCTACTCCTTCCAGGACGAAGCCAGCATCTACCTGGCGATGGAATACGTGCCCGGCGGCGACTTCCGGACGCTGCTTAACAACACGGGTGTCCTCTCCAACCGCCACGCCCGCTTCTACATTGCCGAGATGTTCTGCGCCGTGGATGCCCTGCACCAGCTGGGCTACATTCACCGTGATCTCAAGCCCGAGAACTTCTTGGTCGACTCGACCGGCCACGTCAAGCTGACCGATTTCGGTCTGGCGGCCGGTTTCCTCGCACCGGCCAAGATTGAGTCGATGCGCGTGCGCCTCGAGCAGGCGTCGGAGACGTCGGTTCCGTTTGGCAAGCCGATGGAGCAGCGCACCATGGCCGAGCGTCGCGAGGGCTACCGGACGATGCGTGATAAGGACACCAACTACGCCAAGAGCATTGTGGGCTCGCCGGACTACATGGCCCCCGAGGTGCTGCGGGGCGAAGAGTACGACTTCACGGTCGACTACTGGAGCCTGGGCTGCATGCTGTTTGAGGCGCTGACGGGTTTCCCTCCGTTTGCGGGTGCGACGCCCGACGAGACGTGGCGCAACCTGAAGCACTGGCGCGACGTGCTCAAGCGGCCGGTGTGGGAGGACCCCAACTACTTTTTGAGCAACCGGACGTGGAACTTTATCACCACGTGCATCAACGCGCGGTCGAAGCGCTTCTCGCGCATCGACGACATCTACCAGCACCACTACTTTTCCGAAGTCGAGTGGGAGACGCTGCGGTCCAGCAAGGCGCCGTTTGTGCCGGAGCTCGACTCGGAGACCGACGCCGGCTACTTTGACGACTTTACGAACGAGGCCGACATGGCCAAGTACAAGGAGGTGCACGACAAGCAGACGGCGCTGGAGTCCATGGCGGACCGGGAGGAGTCCATGGGCAAGGGCCTGTTTGTTGGCTTCACGTTCCGGCACCGGAAAACGGGCCCGGCCGCTGCTGACGAGGGCGAGAAGCCTGGAGGCGGCGGTGGTGGCAGCAGCAGTCCTCGCAAGCCGCTGACAAATGACACCTTCGGCGTGCCGCTGGATACCGGCGCCGACGAGACCTATGGTACGATGTTGTAGGACCAGCATCCGCATCAGAATCACCAGCAGAATCAGCACCAAGACCAAGGCCAGCAGCGCCTCCGCCGGCACCGTGGCCGCAACAACCCGGCCGGTTTCGGTACACCCCCGCAGTCCTACGGGCATCACCAAAACTTGTTTACCCAGCATCGCATCCTTCACCCACAGCGTTACCTGCAGCGTCACAATTCACACCCCGGCCAGCACAGCCAGCACCACACGATCCCTCATGTTCAGTCCCCCCTTCCACAATTGCAGCAGCAATTTTATCTGCAAAATTACTTGCACCCCGGTGGTACCTCTTACACGTCGGCACCTGGAGCCTTTCCGGGCCATTTGGCCTTTCCCAATTACTATATCCAGCAGGGACAGCAGGGACAGCAGAGACAGCAGAGACAGCAGAGACAGCAGAGACACCACGAAAAACAACAGCAAAAGCAACAGGAATACCAAGCATGGTCCTCTGGTGCCATGCAAGACCCATGGGGTGTTGCCGACAATGCCGGGTCCTCCATCGCCAACGATGTGTCCAGCGTCATGGGGAAATCGAGCAACTCAAGAAAGAGTCCGTAAGAGCGTTGCGTTTGTGTGTCTGGTTCTTGGTCTTGTTTCAACCTTCTTTTGTTTGTGTCTTCTTCTCACACGAGTCCTTCCCATCTCGTTACCCCTTTGCCGCCCCTTGCATCGATACGCAAATGTTTCATTCTTTTCTTCTGCTTTTTGTCCCTCCCTTCTACACAACTGGTTTTCTGTGTCTTTTGGGGGGATTTCATAAGAAGGGCTTTTTGTTGTACTTTATCCTGGTAGATGGTTTTTATATTTTTGGCACCGAATGTTTTATTGTTTTACCTTCTTGTTCACTGCTTTTATAGAAGCGAGTGGTAATAATAGGGGGGTGAGCGAGGGACAAATGAGCGGGCGTGCATGGTCCCGCCAGAATGCCAGAACCGCGTTGATCGCTGGATCATTCTTTGTACGGACGTTTTTCGGCTGTCACGAACAGCGTTTGCGGATCCAACAGTGTAGAGAAATTGATATGTTCTTTAGTGTCCACTGCTCATTTGTCTCGGGAATTGTTGCCTGTTTTTCTCCTCGTCTGGCCATCGCGTCCTTGCTCTCAGACCGGGACCAATTTGTTGTTCGCACCATGGCCAGCGATGCGATGGAGACGAAAGTAGAGACAGACATACTGCGTATACGTTTGTCTACAGCACAGCTCAGCCTCTTGTGAGTTGCCGTTCGTACACTTCATGCTGAATGACTAGGTGAATTGTATTTCGAGTCAGAGTATCCGTGATGCAAGCGTCCAATCCCAGTACATTGTGTAAGCACTTTGCAGGCAGCATCAATTGTAGCCACCATCCATAACATATCGGCCAAACCATGATCACTGACTCGTGGCATGTGCAGTCACTACGTCTTCACAGCCAGAGTCTAGTAACGGCCATTTCAAATCAGTGACAAGATGGAGTGCGATCACAGCATCGTTTCGTCCGTCACGACTTCTTGTCACAGGAGTATGATCTCGTCAATATGTGAATCGCCTCACTTGATCCAACTCGAATCCGCGTCTCCAAAATGTATAAATATCGCCGTCTCCAAGTACAAACTCAATCTTCTTTTGTCCCTTTTTTTTCTGACCACCAAGCAAATACAATCTACAGTCCCGACAAAGCTGCTTCCAACCTCACACCAAACAACTACAATGCCTGCCGGATCGCCCACACAGGGCAGACCGAGATGGGTACGTCACAAAGTGTCTTGTCTCTCGCTCACAATACATACGGCTAACCCTCACCGTAGGTAAGCGTCAACGTGAAAGCCACGCCCGGCCAGCCACTTAGCCCCATTGTGCTTGCCGCCGCCGCCGCCGCCGCTGCCGCTGCCTCCAGTGCTCGTGCTGTCTCCAACGACAGCACCAGCCCGTCGCCCTCCACCGGCTCACGCATGTCCAGTGGGAGCGCCACGCCGCCGGGGCGCTCGTCGCTGTCGTCCAGCACCCTCTCGCAGGAAACATCACCCACCCGCAGCTCGCCCAAGTCTCCGCTGGAAGACACCGCGCCCAAGACACCTGCGACGAAGGTGCCTGACGCGCTGGCCATGGGCCCTCTGAAGACAAAGGCCAAGGAGGCCAAGGAGGCCCCCGGAACACCCACAAAGGCGGCCGCACAGCCGTCTGTGGTCCCAGCGGTTCCCGCAAAGCCCAGCACATCGCCCCAGGGAACGCCCAAGGCGACGTCCGCGACGCCCGTCAAGATGCCCGTGCTACCCGGCCGGCCTGATTGCTCGTCCGGGCCCAAGGCGTAGGCTCTATAGACAATGAGGTTTCCTCTGTCAGCATTTTTTGAGAGCTCTGCAGGGTGCCGCCACGGAAGGGGAGGGTGTTTGCGGGAAGGACAGAGGAGAGACGTGGCAGAAAGCCCAGCAAGATAGGACTAGACAGTTTCGGTCTGGGCATGAGAGAGGAGGTTGGGTGTTGAAGGCAGAGCACGTGGTTCGCATGCCTATGTTAACGGTATTTTACAGATGCTGTGCGTGGACTGTGCGACAAGGCTGGCAAATGCGAGGGAAAGCAAGGATCGGATCGTTTATTTTAGTTTTTCAACGTTTGTTTCAGGTATAAGGTCACATATACGATTCCATAAAATAAGAGAAAAAAAATTGAAAAAAATTGTTTGTCTAATTTCTTTTTTTTAAAAAAATGAAATAAATCAAGGAAATTTAAAAACGAAATACGTAAATAACTCTGTCTTTTATTCATAGCCAGTTTTATGAGACAGTTTTGCTCGCTGCCAGCAATGTATCGAGTGAACATACAACGACCATGACAAGTTGCCATGAAAGATGAATCACTTTCTTAGACCAAAACAGCAAAGAAATCATGTGGCAAAGCCGCACGACGCGTGTCTGTCGTCGTATGCAGTTTTTCTTTGTCTGTACCGTCGGTTCACGGCCGCCGTCGTCTTGTTGCGCCGCTGTGCGAGCTGACGATGACGAGTCAGGATTCGCCGTCTGACACGGACATCCCCCCGCCCACGACCGTAATGAGGTGTGAGACATGGGGGAGCAGAAGGATTGAAAGAGCACTCATTCGTACGCTGACCAGCCCTCATCCCCATTCAAAGTTCACGGCCATTATCAGCCCCATGGTCGTCCCTGCTGGCCATTTCGCTTTATTTTTACAGACTCCTGTTTCTACGTGATTTTTTTCTTTTCTTTTCTTTTTTCTTCTTTTCTTTTTCTTCTTTTCTTTTGTTTCCCTCTTCATGTGGCGTAAGCCTTACGTCTCCCCTTCCTACATCGTCACACAAAGGGTTAGGCTATCCTCTCACACACACGTCTCCTTCACTGCTCTTTTTATCGTAAATCGAGCCGATTCGTCACGTAGTCTCGGTCCCGACTGACTTGGTCACTCGTCAGAAGTTGGTCTCTCCTTTGACTATCAACATTGTCGCTCTCACCATTCCTAGCCATTGTCTTTTGTTCTCCTCTTTCGATCTTACGTTGCATGATGCAGGGACGCGCGGCAGTGATTCTTTGCTTTGTCAAACTCTTGCTGGGTGGTCTGGCTGTGGTATCTTGGTTTTCTCTTCCATTCACTGGGCCAACGCATGCAGAGGTTGTTCAGCAGAGGTGCTTCCATGCAGTCAAATGCGGCCGAGAATTCACCTTCATTGGCCCAGCGGCACACCTTGAAAATCCAGCCTGCAAAACGAGGGCACAACGAGACGACACAGGCGCAACGCCACGCTTGCCTGCTATAGCACAGAATCTTATTTTATAACCCGCATTTTCTGCGCTCTTGGCTTTCCAGCGGAGGCTGAGACCTTTGTATTTCTCTTTTGGGGCTGCAGGATCGCTGGCCGTTTTGCTTTTCGCTGGTTACGGTGGGCGGAACGGGCACCTGGCAGACCCTTTCGGTCCCGGGTAAAAAGGACGTCCGCTGCGGTCGAGCCACTCGTTTTTCTGCCTTCATACTCAATGATCGCAGGAACTCCCGCCCTGTCCTCCCGTCTTCTGCCTCCCGCTTTATGCATGCCACACGCAACCACTCAATCCCAGCCAGTCGGTTCGTTCGGCGGAGGGATGTGTGCACCAAAAGGAGGCTGGGTTCGGGATATCAGTTTTCGTCGTCACTCCGCTGCTCCGCTGCTTATTCTTTCGCCTGTGTCTTTGTTGTCATTCTGGCTGTCCCGCATTGTTTCACCATCCCTCACCATCCTTTGACCTCCAGTGACGTTTCCTGCCCTGCGGTACATGCGTCCGCCATGTGCCGAAGACAAGAGACAATACATGGCGATGCGCCAGAAAAGAAGGTGGCGCGCGTATCGTTGGACGAACACGTCGCATAAACGCCCCCAAAGTACGCCCTCCCTGTATAAGTGGCACATGCAGACCCCTAAGACGACCATGTACGTCACGACAAAAGGCCTGACCAGATATATTGCAATCCCCGGAACCCGGCCTTCCAGTCGGTCTGCAGCCTCTTCATTTCTTTCCATTGATTAATTCTCCGTGTCTCGTATTCTTCTTGCCTTGCACTATATTTAAAGACATCTTCGTCCGCATCTGCGCTTGGATTGCACATTGCACCCCTACAGTAAGGACAAACCTGGTCCCTCTTCTACGACTAACACACGACTGCCATCCTCCTATCGCTTCGTACTTGAACGCCCTCCCCCACATCCACCACAACCATGAAGAGTCTCTCGACCTCGGCTGCCGTGGCCGCCGTCGCTCTGCCGGCGCTCGCCGCTGCCCAGCCGTTCTGGAACGGGGCGCCCGCCTGTGTGGTATGTTTTTCCTTGCATGCGTCCCCTCGACGCCCTCGGATCTTGATGTGTAGTGCGCCCCGTCTAACTGCCCCCCCTCTCAGAAATCCTGCCTCTCGTCGGCCTACTCGTCGTCGTCGTCGTTCCCTTCGCCCTCGGCCTTTTGTGCCACCGCCGGTTTCCCCCCCGTCGCCAGCTGCCTCAGCGCCAGCTGCGGCGCCACCGCCACGGCCGCCGCCGTCTCCACCTTCTCGTCCGTATCGTCGGCTCTCTGCAGCCTCTACTCCACGTGCGAGGCCGCTGGCAGCACGGGTGTTGTGACGATCACGGCCACGGCGGGCCACGACGGCTATGGGTTTGGCGGGCCCGGTCCCTTTGGCGGCGGACCGGGCGGGCCCTTTGCGTCGGGCTCGCACTGGCCAGCAAGTGGTGCCACCACGACCTTTACGGCCACGGGCTGTCCGTGGGCGACGGATGGCTGGTGGGGCAACGGAGGACCCGGCGGCAATGGCGGCAATGGCGGCAATGGAAATGGAAATGGAAACGGAAATGGAGGCGACGATGGCTGGGGCGGCAACGGCTGGGGCGGTGGCGGCGTCTGGGGCGGCGGCGGCGGGTTCTGGGGCAGCTCGCAGAACGGCTGGGCGTACCGCACGGCGGCTACTACCGTGACCACGACGTTTACGAGCGCCGGCGGCGTGGTGGTGACGGCGACGGGCGTGGCCACGGTCGAGGAGGCCGCGTCGGGCGGGCTGACGAGCACGACGACGTTTTTCAACTCGGAGGTGACGAGCAGCGGCAATAACGGCAACAGCGGCAGCACGTCGAGCGGCGCCGGCCCGGCACGGGCTCTGGCCGTCGGCGGTCTGGGCAGCGGTTCTGGCGAGGGCTGGGCGACCGTCAAGTTCATGGGCCTGGTCCTGGGGACGATGCTGGTGGCGGTTGGTATGCTGTAAGGGGGAGGACGGCGATGCCCCGCGTGTGGTCACTTATGGTTCTCCGATGGTTTTGAATATTTTTTCTGTCTGCTCACGTTTCCACCGTTGTCTCATGTCCTTTCACCCCATGCCTTCACGTACCTTGTCCTCTCCATATGATGCAAACGACCGCTATGCCATTGAATCGAATTTCATTAGTTTTATGACTGAATATGCCTTTTATCCCGCCTGTTCGACGCCACGCAAGTTTATAGGTTTAAAAAAGTTTTTTTAAAAAAAGTCAACGTCAACATCGTAGTCGCTGCCCTGCGTAATTGTCCTATCCCACGTCTCGACCTATCTTAACCTGATGCCAACGATAGGCTTCAGATTGCCACTGACGCAACCCACGACAACAGACTCCAAATCGTCGGGCGTGCCGGCCGCGTGTGCCTCGAGGCTCGCACTGCTCCAGACCCATTTGCGGTACACGGCCGACTCGGACTCTTCCATGGGCCACGACGCGTACACACGCAGCTCGGGCGGGCTGGGCCGCGCTAGCGGACTGTCCACATTGCGCGCGTTCTCTCTGTCCTGGGTCGCATCGTCAAGGACGACGTTGTCGGTGCCATTGTCGGTGCCATCGTCGTCACTATCATCGTCACCGCCCAAGTCTGCCGCGGCCACGGCCGCGGCCACCTGCGCAGTCTCGTCGACATAGTCGTCTTCGTCGTTTTCAATCGAGAAAGGCACAGGCTCCTCCTTGGCGGGAGCACCACCGCCTTTCTCAGACACCGCCACAAGCTTGTCGAGCGCCGTGATGGCCGACTGCGGCACCAGGCTAAACCGCACCTTCCAGAAGGCATTGTTGAGCTGCCGGATCTCCATGCCGTCCACCGACGTCGCCCACGCCGTCCCCATCCCGGACCGGTCCTCCCACTGCCGCGCCAGCTTGCGCGCGTGCGCCGCCAGCACGTGCGCCGTGGCCCGGCTCAGGTAGTCGAGCACGTCGCGCAGTGTGCCGTAGTTGTCGGCGGGCGGGAACGTATCGAAAAGCGGGTTGCGGGCCGCCGGCGGGGCGGGTGGTGCGAGGGGACTCGCGGTCGCCGCTGGTGACGATGGCGGCAGCAGCTGGATGAGGTACTGTGCCTTGAGCGGCACGACCGTCGTGCGGCAGCGCACGAGGATGCGCACCTCTGGGTTGATGGTGAACTCAAACGAGAACTCGCGCGGCGCCAGGAATGTATTGCACAAGCCTTCCGACGCAGACGGCGCCGCCTGGGCCGGCTGACCACCTTGTCCAGCCTGTCCAGCCTGTCCAGGCCGCGGTGCAGCAGTCCCTGGTGGCGCAATGCTCATCGACAACGGCCGCTCATAGAGGGTGAAGCGCGACCCGTCCAATCCCAGACCGTGCAGGATGCCGCACACATCAGAGAGGTAGCCCGAGATGTGCTGAATGGCCTTTTCATACTTGAGGTTGGCCACGATCGGTCGCAGCATATAGTAGATGGGCGGCTGGGGTTCCGTGTCGGTGATGGGCTGTGGCGAGGACCGCTGCCGGTAGTGGTCGCGGTGACCGTGCGCGAGGAACAGCTGCAGCGACGTGCAAATGCCCGCCGCGATGTCGTTGAGTTTGGGGTCGTGCGTTGCTTCGGCCTCCCGCTTCTTCTTCTCGGCGGCCGACGTGTGGGCCGACGGCCGATGGTACAGCGGCTCGATGGTAATGACGCCCTCGATGTTGGCGCCGGCCGGGAACACAATTTCCGCGTCCCGGAACACGACGCCGTGCGAGAGCATCAGGCGAGCCTCGCGATTGAGCTCCCGCCACAGCTCCTTGGCGTTGACCGTGTTGCGTGCCTCGAGGATGCGGTCCTCGAGCGACGCCGACGCCGCCAGTCGTGTTGCCAGCGGCGAGCGGCCAACCTGAGCGGGACCCTGGTGGGTCGTCAATGCTCCCTTTTTTCGCAGAGTCACGACAATCGCCGACGGCGCACCCAGCGCGCTCAGGTCGAGCGCCACCTGCCCGTTCTTGACCCGCCGCAGCGGCGCAAAACTGAGCGCGCGCAGGTCCGGCGCGGATTCGCTGAAACCAAACTTGACGCGCAGCACGCGCCGCTGGCCCGGCATGCGCGACAGGGTCCACCCTTTATCACGCACCGCCAGCACCTCGGACCAGTACCTTTCTTCGCGCCGCATCTCGGTTCGCAGCCGCTTGCGGCCGGCTCGCAACACGTCGGACGCCCGGTCCATGGCCAGCAGTTGCCACCCCACGCACTCCGTCTTGTGCTCAATCAGCCGCTGCGCGTTGAAACGCGTCGTCTCGTCGAGCGCCTGCACCTCGGCCGCGGACAGACCCGAGGCGCCACCGCGCCCACCGCCTCCGCCGCCGTTCTGGCTCTGCAAGGCGCGCGCAGCCTGGGCGGCATTGGCGATGCGGCCGGCGCTCAGGGTGCCAATGCCAGCCTTGTCGCGGACGATGGGCGACAGCGTCTGCAGCGCCTGCGTCGGGCGGTCTTTGGACAGGAGGAGGGAGACAAAGTCGACTGCAATCAATCCGCTCTGCAGGGCGGCTCTGGAGGAATCATTAGTAAAAGGAACCTTTTGTGCGCTGTCACTCGCTGTCACTAGCCATCGGACGGAGGACAAACTCACTCCAACGACATGAGGATCTCGTCGCGCTTCGCGAGCATCTCCTGAATGCTTCGTGGCCGGTCGTGCGACGTGTCGCGTTTGGCACCGTTCTTGTCGCTGCTCTTCCTTTTTGTCGTCACTGCCGTCTTTGTGGTGCCTCCCCCGTTCTTTTCTTCTTCTTCCTCGTCCTCCTCGGCCTTTTCTTTTTCAATCTGCTTCCTCAGCTTCTCCTCCGACAAATCGCGAAAGTCGATCCCCTGGAACTTCAGCCGCTGCACAAACTCGCCAATATTGGTCGGCTGCTTCGACGGCAGCGGCCATGGCCGGAAGACGGGGTCGCGCGTGCCAAACAGGGGCCCGGAGATGGGAGGTGGTGGAGGCGGCGGTGGCGGCGGCGGCGGTGCCAGGGGTCCTCCAGACGCCGATGTTGATGCCGATGTTGATGCCGATGCTGTCGAGGCCGCACCCGGTCGAGCTACCGGACGAGGCCTGTTGTCGGCCATGGTGGGCGGGCGACGTTGTGTGCGCGCTCACAGTCGGTAACTAGATCGTGGCGGGACGGTGACATGTGCCACGAAAACGTGCATGGATGCAGAAGACGGGACTAGAGGGAGCTTCGTGATACGATTTAGGGTCTTGGTGTTGACATTGATCTGTGCTTGCAGCGGCAGTTGCATTGGGTGAGGCTGGGTGTGGCGCACAGTGTGTACAGTGCCTTCCGAACTTATTACACAGTATGTCGTATACCTACTTCACTTACAGCTCCCCAGCCAATGAGAGACTCATCACTGCAAAAATATCAAAAGTAGACGGGAGCTGCACGACAAAGGTCCTTTGCCATCTCTCGACCGCAACGAAACAAGACGAATAAGAATCATCTTCTGCACGGATGGTCCCGCCAATGCTCCCTGGATGTAGTATCTGGCCGAGTACGGCCTGTGCAAAATAGGCTGCTGTTACACAGAGTGCCAGCACATTGTCCATCGTGCAACAGAGGCGTGCATACGTCTGTCTGGGAATACAACCGCGAGAAGACGACGACAATATCCACAAATGATTTACAAATAATGAATAGACGGAGGCGGATCGTCGGACACTGAGGGAAGAAAGTGCCAAGAGAGAACTTTGAAAACCACGCAACTGAAACGGGTGCGAATTCGCACTTCAAGCAGTTTTGGTTTGGCAAATCTCTTATCAACGAAATACGAACGAATTGTGTTTCTATTCGCCAAGCGGTCCTGAATTACTATTCGCTGCGGTGTATTTGTTTTCAATTTTCACGTCAACTACTTTCTCCTTAACTCTCCCATTCTATCGCCCCTTAGTTTTCCTCATCCTTCGAATCGTACTTGTACTCTCACAAACGGCCCTTTTATACCCCACCAACAAGCGTAGGCTTAAATGAAAAACACGCTTCTATACGTTATAACTCTCTTCACAGATTTCTTTCACAGAGGACAAAGAATGTCAAGGCTATTGACTCAGTAACCCTCGGCTGCTTCCTTGATGCCATGTTTTTGACAGGCACGCTGTCCTGACTCAGACACTGCCCATGCCCAGACGCCCGCCAAAAGGGAGCAAGCCACTTGTGTCGCCGCTTACGGAGGCCCGACGTCGTTGTTCGTGTCCATTCCAGTCGCGCGTGCAAAGGCTTTGATCTAACGTCCCTCCTGCCAAAAACTGTGAAGCCCCAGATCCCGCGGATTCGAGGGCAGCCGCGTCCGATTTCAGCGACACTTTCCCCTCGTGGACAGCGCGCTGGTCGCGGTTTCCTCGTTGCTCCCCTGCGTGATTTTCGGCATTACCCCACTGTAGCCCATCCCCCACCTTCTGTGCCCCCCTACGAGTCGTACACTTTGCCCGCCGCCATTCCGTTGCACTTTTGGCTGCAGCTGATAAGATAAGAGCTCCCACATCCGGTGCCGATCCAGTGAAAGAAAAGAAGCACTCCAAGTCGCTCTCTTTTTCTCACTCGCCTGTAATACAACCTTTGAATACTCACTGTCAATGGTTTGCCTGCCTCGACGTCACTTCCTTTTACACCGTCCGACGCCCCTTCTTCGCTGCGCCGTACCTTGTCTGCATCGTACCTTCCCCAATAATACTATTTTTCCGCCTCCTTCGATTATATCACCACATTCGCAACAGCACAGCATTTCCGATATCCGTTCTTTTCTTTTCTCCTTTGCTCGTTTCTTTTTCCCGACCACGTTTTGACGTTTTGATTTGTCTTGTGGTCGCCTGTTGTTTTTACGTACTCGTGCTGTTGGCATCCAATCCTTCCATCTGCGTTGGTTCTTCCCAAGCGAAGCACCTCCATCGAATCTTTCATCGCCCACGGATCTCATTGTCGACTCTCCTCCCTCGTATTTTTCACTCCCCCTTCTTCCTTTTTTTCTGTCGACGCCTCGGCCCCGTGTATGATGGCGAGTCCGTCCCCGCCGACGAATGGCAGCAGCAACAATGGCTTTGTGTCCACAACCGTGCCCGCCGCGTCTGTCGGCCCCGACGGAGTTGCCCGGAGGAAGAAGATTGCCATTATGACGTCTGGTGGCGATTCGCCCGGCATGAACGGCGTCGTCCGAGCCTGCGTCCGCATGGCCATCCACCTGGGCTGCGATGCCTTTTGCGTCTACGAGGGCTACGAGGGCCTGGTGCGTGGCGGTGACTATATCCGCCAGATGGAGTGGCACGACGTGCGCGGCTGGCTGTCCGAGGGCGGCACGCTGATTGGCACGGCCCGCTGTATGGAGTTTTACGAGCGCGCGGGCCGCATGAAGGCCGCCAAGAACATGATCCTCCACGGCATCGACGCCCTCATTATCTGTGGCGGCGACGGCTCGCTGACGGGCGCCGACAAGTTCCGCGCCGAGTGGCCCTCGCTGCTCGAGGAGCTTGTCCACACCAAGGAGCTGACCGCGGACGCGATCGCGCCCTACAACCATCTCAACATTGTGGGCCTGGTCGGCTCCATCGACAACGACTTATCGGGTACCGACGCCACGATTGGCTGCTACTCGGCGCTCGCCCGCATCTGCGAGATGGTCGACTACATTGAGGCCACGGCCTCGTCGCATTCGCGTGCTTTCGTGATCGAGGTCATGGGGCGCCATTGCGGCTGGCTGGCCCTTATGGCCGGCGTGGCCACCGGCGCCGACTTCATCTTCATTCCCGAGAAACCCCGCAAGGACAACTGGCGGGAGGAGATGTGCGACATCATCCAGAAGGTAAGACCGGGTGCCTGTGTCCCTGTACCACCCGGAATCTCGGAAGAAGCTTGCTATTGACACCAGCGACAGCATCGTGACCTCGGAAAGAGAAAGACGATTGTGATTGTCGCCGAAGGCGCGCACGACCGTCATGGTAACCACATCACGCCCGAGATGATTCACAAGCTCCTCGCGGACAAGGAGGGCCTCGCTCTCGACACACGGATCACGACTCTGGGGCACGTGCAGCGTGGCGGTACGGCCGTCGCCTACGACCGGATGTTGTCGACTCTGCAGGGCGTCGAGGCAGTGCGGGCCGTCATCGAGGCGACGCCCGAAACCGAGACCTGTTTCATCGCCATCACGGAGAACAAGATTGTGCGGAAGCCTCTGATGCAGGCCGTGCAAGCCACCAAGTCGGTTGCGAGTGCCATCGAGGCCCACGACTTTGACAAGGCCATGAGCCTGCGGGACACGGAGTTTTCGGACCAGTACAAGTCGTACATGATGACGGCGACGGTCAACCTCGACGCGAAGCAGCTGTCCAGCGAGAAGCGCATGAAAATTGGCTTCATCAACGTCGGCGCCCCCGCCGGTGGTATGAATGCGGCCATCCGCGCCGGTGTTGCCTATTGCATCTCGCGTGGCCACGAGCCGATTGCAATTCATAATGGATTTGCCGGGTTCTCGCGCCACCACGGGGACAGCCCCATGGGCTCTGTGCGGCCCTTTGAATGGCTCGAGGTCGACGGCTGGGCCAGCAAGGGCGGCTCGGAGATTGGCACCAACCGTGAGCTGCCCAGCGAGTCGGGCATGGAGCTGATTGCGAACCTCGTCGAGCAATACCGGTTCGATGGCCTGTTCCTCATTGGTGGCTTCGAGGCCTTCCACGCCGTGTCGCAGCTCCGCAAGGCCCGCAACGAGTTCCCCTCGCTCTGCATCCCCATGGCCCTGCTGCCGGCCACCATCTCCAACAACGTGCCGGGCACCGAATATTCGCTTGGCTCCGACACGTGTCTGAACGAGCTCGTCAGCTACTGCGACAAGATCAAGCAGTCGGCCTCGGCCACGCGCCGCCGCGTGTTTGTGATTGAGACGCAGGGTGGACGGTGCGGCTACATTGCCACGGTGGCCGGCCTGGGCGTGGGCGCCAGCGCTGTGTACACGCCCGAGGAGGGTCTCAGCCTGGAGATGCTGGCGGCGGACGTGCGGCACCTTAAGGAGGTGTTTGTCAACGACAAGGGCCAGTCGCGCGCCGGCCGGCTGATTCTGATCAACGAGAAGACGAGCCGCGTGTACAGCGCCAAGCTGATTGCCGACATTATCCGCGAGGAGGCCCACAACCGTTTTGAGTCCCGGGACAGCATCCCCGGCCACGTCCAGCAGGGCGGTGTGCCGTCGCCCATGGACCGGTGCCGGGCCGCCCGCCTGGCCATCAAGTGCATCGAGCACCTGGAGACGTTTGGCTGCAACGCGCACAACCGCGTCAAGAAGGACCCGCTGTCGGCTGCTGTTATCGGCATCAAGGGTGCCAGCGTCGTGTTCTCGCCGATGGAGACGCTCGAGGAGACGGAGACGGACTGGCCGAACCGGCGCCAGCGCGCGTCCTACTGGTACGACATGAAGGAGGTGGTCGACGTGCTCGCGGGCCGCCCTTCGCACCAGTCGCCCGAGACGAGCCTGAGCGGCCTCGCGGCCAAGGACGCCAAGCGCGGCATCGTCACGCAGTGACCATGAACGACACGCGGAACCACCAAAAGCAGTGCTAAACGGAAGTTCGTCCCACGCCGTCCCACGAAATGCGTACGGTACGGGGGAATATTCACCCAGGGCGGGTCTCACGGAGAATGGGAGTTTTGACTTTGACTTTGATTTTGTTGTTGTTCGGCAATGTGGCAGGATATCTGTGGCTATTACGTATTTTGTGCTGTGCAGGGCATTGTATCAGTGCACGGAAATGTATTGCGCGTTTGCATAGTTGCATGTTTGCGAGCTTTTTTCCCCTTTGATTTCCCCCTTTCTTTGTCTTTGATAGTCTCTTCCGTTGATTTTTCTCTCGATTGCATCTGCCACCGGCTCTTTGAATCGTTCTTGCCATGTGAACTTGCTGTCCATTTCTGTCACACTGCTGCAAGATGTCCTTTTAATTCTGAGCACGCGTATGAGGGATGAGGCTCCTTCTTGTTGTTCTTGTTTTCTCACACTAGGAACATGTGTTAGAGGACAATGTCTCTCTCGTCCAGTCCAGTTACATATGCCTTGCCTATAATCAAGCCACCCCGTGCTGTCCATAA